CACATTATATTTGATGGCGAGAAGGAATTTCAACAGGATATCAGCTTGTGGGGAGTAAGTACAGTAATACCACAGTAAAATAAACCTTTAATGATTTATGTTCTATGTGTGCTGTGCATGCACCATTTTCTAAGGATTTGACAGTACACTGGAGACATCGACAAAAACTAGCTTTTATATTGAAAATAAATATTTCAGTTTTTTAATATTTTAATGTTAACAGTCAGAGGAGTTAAGTCTAAATAGAGAGACACATTTCAATGTAAACAAACCCAGATGTTTGAGGCCATAAACTATGGTTTAATTCATTGCACATCCCAAATGATACAGAAATAGGTACATTCAAGTTTAGATGGCAAAGTCCTTCATTTAGATATGCAAAAATGTAAATGCAAATATGCCGTTTCTGTATACATGTGATTCTTCACTCTGCACATCTACATTTTTGGGGGGGAAAATGTTAATGCAATGCAAGTTTGAGATTATCCTAAATGAGGGTTGAAAGGCAATTAATATTTATATTTTATGTGCAATACAGACTGATTTGTTATTGTTGCACAACACTTGGATGGTTTACAAACTATCATTTTAAATTATTATACAGTTGCTCTGGGAGAAGGTGGGGTTGGCACATTTAAAACTGTACACATTCTCTTATTGATATAAATACTTTAAATACAGTAGCACTGATAAGTTTGGTAAAATACCCTGACACTTTGGGCAAAAAACAGGTAGTGAGTCATTTACACAACAAACTAGTAGTGATGGTGTAAGGACAAACATCAAGCTGCACATCCAGCTTGTGTGCAAATCATTTTCTCACCAAGTAGCCAGCGTTCTCGCACCGTGCCAGCTCATAGTTCACAGCCACTCTGTTCATTAAAATGAATGAGCTAAACCACCTCATCAAAATGTTAGAGCCATTTATGCATCATATTTCATTTGTATAGTTAATGCATAAAAATATTTCCTGTTAATGTAAAAACAACAATCCTACAATTGTGCCAAAAAAAAAAAAAAGCTGTTTCTGTGCAGTCAGCAGTTCTAATTATATAAGGAAAACTTGTGCTGGTTGTGTTTTAACGTTGCCATTATGTGAGAATTTGGTATATCTTACTGACATGAATAAATCCCATGTCAATAATAGTTTAAATAGGACAGTCCTGATCAATATGTCGGCTCTAGTGGAGCTACTTCTATTGCTTGCAACCTCAGTGTGTCAGCAGCTGCATGGGGACAGGCCAGCCACAGCCTCAAGCACAGTTACAAACAGGTTGCCGTGGGAGACCCAAAGCAACCGATGAGCCTGGTGTCATCTTGTGTCATCTCATTTTCTAAAAAACATTTCACACTGTGCTACTTAGAATATGTTCTTATTCACAAAATCGAAGCGTAACCAAAGAACCGTAGCTGCATACAGAAAATATATCACCATAGAAATTACAGGTATGTACTACTTTTCTTTTCTACATTGACTCATGACCTTAGTAATATGTATGCTCCATGAAAATTATCTAAATACTTAACACATTATTTGTTACCAGATTAAGTTATAGACCAAAACACACATAATTATGCTGTCAGGGTATGCAAAGCTTGGATAGAGTGTACAAGTTGGTTTCAACATCTGGTGAGAATTTTGTGTTTGTGGTTATCTTTTAAAATATATTACATTGAAATGTATCATTTTAATTAGTTAAAAACAAGTTATCTCAAATTAATTTCCCTGCTCATTGTATCCACTTAAGTGGAACATCAGTCGATGAAGACAGTTTATATAAATTGATTAGTTGTCTCTGGAAACGGTTATTAGTTTCCAGTTGGACTATGTTTTCTGACCTTGCATCATTTTTTCATCATTTCTTTCATTGCTAAGGGCTCCTGCGCACATGTCCATTTAAAGTTGGAAAATCTTTAAAGTACGCAAATTTAATCCTGCTTGATTTAGAAAGTCTTACTTTAGTGGAGATTTTGGCTCTTACTAAAAAAAAAAAAAACACACACAAAAGTTTGTTCATAAACCATTTTAATTGCTGTTAAACAAGTTGCTGTTTCTGTCTCACCATCCAGGTGATAGATGTGACCAAAAGCATGGTAAACATGATGGCGGCCAAGATAGAAGTTGCCATGAAGAAGGCGGAGCCAATGTCCTGGGCTCGTCTGGACCTGCCACCTCCCGTCACCCCACCCAAAGAGAACGACGAAAAGAAAGAAGAGGGTGATAGTGATGATGAAGAAGAAGACAAATGATGACATTTTTCTGTCTAGCTTACTCAAAGGCAGGAAAGGCAATACTTTAACTTATTTACCTCTTTAAAGAATTGCCTCTTTTGCAGTTATAGCGTTCTTATGTTTCTCTGACATTCACAGCATTTTTTTTTTCCCCTTATCTATCGTCATCATCAGAATTGCTTTTGGCCTTTTTCTGAAATATTGGAGTTCATTAAAAGCTTGAGTGCTAAGTATATCTTAGAAATATTTTTACGTGGACAATTGTAGACTTTAATCAAGTGAGGTAACAACTCACCTGTGTATTTGCACTGACGTTCTCTTTAAAAACAACCTGACGGAGATGATGGGGACGCTCATATTGAATCATAATAGTCTGCAGTTATGACCATCTCTCTACAATGGTGGGTAAAAGATGATTCAACCTGTACATTTACATTGTCTCATAATTGAGAAATTGGAAGTTACACACTTCCAGATGTGTAATGTTTTGTCATTCCATCCTTTGGTTTCAATTATTAGATAAATTATTGAATAGTTCTTATTTTCTGTTAATGTCCTAAGAAATTTAGGCTGTCTGCGTGATGAAGAGATGTTCTATCAAATCAAATCTCAATCCTCCAGTTATCTATATGTGTTTAAAATGGAATATATTTTAATAAACATTGTTAAAAAATATTAGTTCTTCAGGTTCTGCTTTACCTTTGTTCCAGTGGAAATAAAGGTTTGCTCTAGGCTTTTTTTTTTACATTATCTTCTGCATTTATTTTGTACACTTTTGCTTTGAGTGACTATTTCTTGTGACTACAACACACTGCGGTTTTAATGGGAATGTAATGTAACATTTGACTATGCCAAATGAATACTAAGTATTTTGAGCAAAATACTGTTATTGAAATGATACACTAGACAGCATGTGTCTAAGTTTAGAATGTTTGACATTTATTTGGCTTAATGAGACCATCATAAGAGGTACATTAGGAAACAGGTTTATTCCACCCCCTGGAAAAAAATAAATTTTTGTTCAGCAAATTCAAAGCCGAGTGTTGGTGTTTGTTTATAAAAAAAAAAAAAAGAAAAAAAAAGTATTTGAGTAAGCTACAATAGATTTTTCTAATCTTTCTCTATCAACTATTGACATTGTGACAGGATAGGAAACACAAATTAAATTGGAATATGAAGTTAAAAGGCAAAACCCTGTAATTTTCAAAATTATAAAGCTAGGTACCGAGGACTTGCTGAACAGTACAGAAGTAGAAAAGTTGAAAAATGTTAAACGGCACTATGTGCCTGGAAAAGACTTGATGCTACTCCTATTTTAAGAGGCCAGCAGTACCTATCACATCTTTTGATGCTAGCAGGCTGTGTGAAACCGGTGTGGCTCCATGGTCAGGAATGTTTCCGAGCCATATACAGTCTCCATGGTAACCAGCTGACCAATGAACTGTCACAGTATCTTTTACTATTATTACTGAATCACATATTCACCACAGCAGCAGGATTTACTATCGCTATCCAGTTTATCAAGTGCTTAGTATACTTCTTAAACCAAGTATACTTGATTAAACAAGTATACTTGGTGGAGAATCAACCAGTTGGAGAATCAACCAGTCATGTGGCAGCAAGCTCTCTTCACTTTGGGTTTATGTTTGATAATATGTAGTAAATAAAAAAATATCTAAACCTATATGCTACAGCAGCAGAAGACCACACTAAGCACGGACAAAACATGAATCATTAACAGATTTGGTGTTGACGTTGAAGCACGGATCCCTCAGGACTTATCTGAAGTTTTCAGGTTTATAGTGGTGTAATGGTATGGACATAATTTAACTCCCTAACTACTTGATAATTAATTTTGTCTGCTGAATTTTTCTGCGCATCATGTCCATTGCTTTATGACCCAGTGGGCTCCTTCCAGCAGAATAGTGCATGGTTCATTACAAGCCCTCTGCAGAACTAGATCAGAGACTGAATAGGTAATTCATCCACTGATTCAGCTGTGTTGGAGTCGGGACGCATGTAAAACATGGAAAACATCGACTCCACGTCTCATCCGTCAGAGTTTTAAAAGTTAAATCGCTTGTTCTGCAGAACGAGAGCTGATCATCACCGAAAACACTGACATTAAACCTAGTATTGAGTGATGCTATGAAATAAAAATCCATATCTTCTATTGACAACTGTCCATTCATTCTATTAGCAATGACTGTCATCTCCTTACATGATCTTACTTGGTGTGTAACCCCATGCACCCATCAGGGCCTCTGAGAATTGATTATTATTCTTGAGGCAATCTGTACCAACCCAACATTCTGGCATCCTCTCCTTGTCTAATGCAGAATTATGTTTATCGCTGAATAGTGCTTTCATCCAGAGTCTGTAACTCTTTGCTCTGGGGCACTGTTTTCTTGTTTTGTTCTTTTCAAATTGTGGTTTACATTAAGCTGTTTTTTATGTAAATCTCATTTACTGCAACCAGGCTTTTACAGTTCAATTAGCAAAGCTTACTTCTTTCTCTTCCCATTTGTTACGTGTCAGTTGTCATTTTCAAGTTGCATTTCATTTAGCTTACAGTTTTGCCTTGTGTATTTTTTACTTTGATAAGTAAACTATGCTAACTACAATAAATCTATAGGTTTATTGATGTACATTCAACAAGGGCAAATTGCTTTGCCCTTGAATAACTTTATGCTCTTGAGTGACTTTATGCTGTATTTGTAAAGTTCCCCATATAAGTTAAGGATTAGGATTAATAGGGATTGTAAACATAAGGTTCTCCTAATTCATTCAAAAAGAGACTGAAAGCTCAAGTTCACAACTAATAAGTAAATCAGAATTAGTTTTCAAAATGATCATAATAAAGCTAAAGAATACATGTCTGGAATCATGAAAACATTTTCTGAAAAATGACGATACTCCAAGAACATATGTTAAAAGCATGTGCTGCATCCTTCCATCAATGCTTTGGAAGAATTTGATATAATTTATTAAAATGTAATCAATTGTAAACATTGTTATTTTACATAGTTTTCTTAATGCATGCAACAGATATATTTAGATAAGCATTAGTAATACTCCCATGTTTTTGGCAATGAATAATTACATAGTTGTTTGGTAGTTACGGTGGCTGGCTTCAGTTTCATTGTTCCAGATAAGTGGCTGCTTTTCTGGTAAGGCAAGGAAGTTTTTCCAAGTCTTCCTGCGAGGCCAGGCTTTGAATCGATGCTTAGCGAGAAGGATAGCGATAGCTGTGGTCACAGTCACAATTCCTCCGCAGAGCGCTGCAAGGATCAGCCAAGGCCACACATCGTGCAGCTCATCCAGGTAGGGACGCATGGATTCTGCAAGCCTTTGGTCTGCAAGAAAGGTGGAGCAAAGTCAGCACAGTGTGTTTTTATATGTGGCCATATATCCCTTTTAATGACCCATGCATAGTTTAAACAAGATTGAGGTTTTTTTTTTTTTTTTTCGTGTCCAACCAGAGCCACTTTCTTCCCTGCATCTGCTGTATCACTTGTGGCAAACTGCAACAAGGACTTGCTTCATTTAGCTTTCTTTTTGTTCTCAATATTTCATAAAGGCCAGTTTTGTGGCGTGCAAAACAAACTGTTAACAGCACAAACAGATTTCTTTCACCTGAACTGTAGCTCCTTCAGTTTTCTCTTTATTAATTTATCAATTCAGCTCACACAAATTAAGCATAGTGGCAACATAATTTATCAAAACAAACCCAATTTTTCCAGGTGTTATTTAAAAGAAAAACGTTGAAAACCATGTATTCCTTTCCTACCACTTCTTAATTAAGCATTGTGTCCTGCAAATTTATTCAAATATATTCCAATAAATCTTTTTAATTTTTGG